GATTTATTGTCATACGTTGTTTAAGTAAGACAACAGGTCATGGAGACGGGGGAATAACCTGGAAAACATAAGAATATAGATAATGCTAGTAAACTGTAATAATAAATTTGACGATTTATGGAGGCCATGTTGTAATCTTAGTAACTCTGAGTTGTTATTCAATTAACTAGAGCACTGCTCTACAAGCCACCATATTAAATCTCAAAAACTTTGGTGTCGTGCTTCGTACTTCAATCTTCCAGAAGAACAACTTTCACTCCTTCCAAAACTGTCCAACCTGAAGCTGGCATTGGGTCAGCCATCAGACATTGTAAATGTCTACTTATGAGGGGAGTGAATGGGGTTTATGCAACAACTGGACCAAGTCAAAGTGGCAATGTGTGGATGGTAACACAAGGGGGGGTTGTACGTCTTCAGCAGTGAATCAGAAGGTGGGTATAGACCGATTACCTGGGCAAGCATCAGTTCACAGGGACAACATATACGATGGCGCCAGCGAAACAGGTAATTAGTTGGCGGTCACGGTCTTCAGTGTAAACATTATGGGTCTTCCGGGTTTCTTTGCTAAGCGTGTTTTTGAGTTGGTTCGTTGATTATGCTCTATTATTTCAGGAACACAGGAAGTAGGTATTGTACGCTTATAACTAGTCGCTTGTCTACAATTCACGGATATTATCCAGTAAACCAGTGGTTTTACAGGAAGCGTGAGCACAACACACAAGATAGGACCTTCCGAGGCCCATAAGAGGGGAATGAACTTGAAAGTTGTTCGAAGTTTCTGAGTTTTTGGAGGACGATAAGGCGGACGTTTCTTCGGAGCACTTGGAATGTCCAACTCTGAATTTCGGGCTTGAACGGCTGTTAAAGGAGATGATATGCTGAACCACTTATCATGTTCGACTGTGCCAATATTTAATTTCCTAACGCCAGTATCACTACATTGTTACCGTTTGTGATTGTTTCGTATAGGATCTGTAGCTCATGGTTGAATTATAGTCGGTTGTAATCGACATCGTGCTAGTATTGTTGTACCAGTGAACAAAATTCCTGTAATTGTTGAATAAACAGATCACTGTGTCATTGGTTGTTTACTAGTTCTGGCTTGGCATTCGAAGATAGTTAATTACACTGTACTTCATTCTCTGTCAAGAAATAGATATTCATACCGCATATAAGGTTGATGATTAGGATCGGAGTGCGTGTTAGGTAACACGAATCCTATCCACCTTGAGATCGTTAGCTAAACTGAATGAAGTTAGTTTCAACACTCTCTTGACTTGGAAAAACGCTTATTCGTTTATGATATCGTTATTGCTTTTTTGGGAGGAGAGAGATGTCTGCGGTAAAATAATCCGAAGTAATTCGAATTTCTGAGTTCTGGTTACTGAACTACGATAGTTCTCTCAAAATCGCAATCACAAAAAAGTGACAAGATAATCTCAAAGTTGATTCAAAGCCATTTAAATCTACCATCTTCCATCCATCGAAGTGGGATGTGGGAAACAGTGGTTTAGTCTATAAGCCAGCTGTCGTTGCTGATTACCAGAAAGCAGATCTCGCTTGAAGAAGCTTATAAACGATTCATAAATTAAGAGAAGTTTGGTAGCGATTTTCAGTCCTCTTTATTGTGTACACTGAAGTCTTGTATTAGATACCGGTTTCATGTACATATGTATGGGACCGGGTTTACGAAGTTCATTAGATGAAGCGGCTGCAGATAAACAACTGAATAAAGAAATTTACTTTGAAAGGAGCTATAAAGTAGGATTAAATTTATGCGTAGCGTATAAAATGGTGTATGATCTAGTGTAAAGAAGATAAATGTTGTACAAGTTGTGCATAAAAAGCGTTTCGACTTCTACATTTTCATCTTAATATTCGTGTGAGAAAATCACAAACTTACAGGTGGCCAATTGCATTTGATTATGTCATGTGCGATTTCGGTGTAAACTGTACTCGATTCTGGAGCATGAGTAGTTAACTATACAGCCAATCAGCTATAATTTACGTACAGCATGGTATATATTTATACGAGCTCTTGGTGTCCACACGAGATTCACACTATGAGAAATAATTGTATTAGCAATGACAATGAGAAAGACTAAGGGTTTCAAATATGGTTTGAAATAACAGAATAACAAGTCTTGTATGAAAAAATGTAGTGAGTATATTCTAGCCATGTAATATTTATTTTTGACCTTCGTTTAACATATGTGAAAGGCAGTACATTAGCATAAGTAACTCACAGACAATACCTGTTACTAATGTGGGTTTGCTGGTTATGTAGGTAATTCATGGGGAGCTGTAATTCGCTTTTACCTAATTTACACTGTCCAGTCCATGTGACTCCGTTCCACATGATAACAAACTGTCATACCAACACACGCGTCACGCACATAAGTCTAAAATAACGAAAATGCTAGTGAGATTGGGAAATACACAAATTGGAAAAATGTGGTACGTTCCTTATGATAAGTTGTTGGGGGACTTACACAAAAGTCTTTGAAACTAGTTATTTTTTATTGCTAGCCCAAACCTTTCCTCCAGAAAGAATCACAAATATTAACCGTCTACGCTTTTACTTTTGTTCAATGCACGTAAATCCCTCTGGGCAAATGAGATGATTTGTGTAGCCAAGAATAATCTTTCAAAAAGAGTATGCCATGTACATGTGGATTATAGTTGTGGACCTAAATTTAAAAGAAGATGACTAACTAGACTAAATTCAGTGTAATCTTGTCGGATCAGTGCTCATTTATATCTTTATAGCGATGTTTGTAATATGTTTATTGTTGCACTATCAGGGCATAGTTTTAGTATAACGTCCTGATTTATAAACACAAATCTTGCCGGTCCGAAGCCCGAATAAAGGAGGAGGGTTGGGCTTGGGGTTAATGACCCAATCCCGTAGAAAACTAACTCGTTAAAAAACGTTAGCCAGAAAAGATTATTCAAGCTTTTTAAACTCTGCCCTGGGATTCAGGAGGCCTTCATTTAGAAGAGTTATGATTCCTCATGATGAAAGCCGAGTTCCTCCGGAGGTCACTGGGACGATGCCCCTTCTGACAACCAGAGCAACCATTTATTTAGGTACACGGAATATTCAAGAAAGGAGGAACAAAAAGACAGAAATCAATACCAGCAGAACAAGTGCAGAAAAAGCCAAGGCACAAGCTGAATACCCAGAAGTGAACAAGCGAGTGAAGAAGAGCAGCAGAACTGTCAAACGTAAATATGTTGAAGATTTAGCAATGACGGAGGAAAAGGCTGCAAGAGAAGGGAACATGAGACAACTGTATGACATAACAAAGAAACTCTCTGGAAATCACCGTAAGCCAGAACGAGCAGTGAGAAGCAAGGAAGGTAAGCTAATCACCAACATTGAAGAACAACGAAACAGGTGGGTAGAACACTTCAAAAGCTCTTGATTCGACCAGCCCCACTGAACCCACCCGACATCGAAGCAACACCAAGGTCAGGATTTTCAATACAAATGTCAAGACAGTTCTACTGTATGGGGCGGAAACTTGGAGAATCAAGAAATCCATCATCCAGAAGATACAAATATTTATTCACAGTTGTCTGCGCAAAATACTTCGGATCTGTTGGCCGGACACTATTAGCAACAACCTACTGTGGGAGAGAATAAACCAGATCCCAGTGGAGAAAGAAATCAGGGAGAAGCACTGGAAGTGGATAGGACACATGCTGAGGAAAGTACCCGACTGTCCCACAAGACAAGCCCTCACATGGAATCCTCAAAGCCAAAGAAAAAGAGGAAAACCAAAGAACACATTACGCCGGGAAACGGAGGTAGGCATGAAAAAAAATGAACAAGAATTGGATAGAACTAGAAAAAAAGGCTCAGTACAGAGTAGGTTGAAGAATGCTGGTCAACAGCCTATGCTCCAATGGAAGTAATAGGAGTAAGTCAGTAAAAAGAAATGTAATTTCTACACAAAATAAGATGGTAAATAAGTGCTTTAGTTATTATGTTTGAATCGTAATATGCGGTTCCTGGTTAACTCTTAATCCTTTCAGGTTTAAAGTTATAGTGTTGGTTATTATGTTGAACCCATATACTTTATTCTAGCTTCCGGCCAATCTATTCATTCTAGTTGAGTCATATTTTGACATCGTTGATTATTCGCTTAATCTTGACTTTTTATATAAACGTATGTGTGCGTACATTTCCTGTCCTATTCATCACATGTTTGTAACTTATTTCCGTGCGATAATAAATATTAGTTAACGCTTGACTGAATTGAGTTGGCTCACACGCCTTCTCCATTGCGCGACATTTCGCTTTGCTTTATTCCATTCGCTTCATATACAAAATATACGTATCATTCATTACCCAGAGGTTCATTCTCGTTATTTGACCTACGTAATTCTGTTATTTACTCAACGCCGATTAAGTCGATAAAGGTATACAAGAATGGTCAGGATGTACATTTTGACATTCATACGATCAAATTGAAGTCCGATCACGGACCACTGAAAAGTTAACTGCATAGTACAGCCATCAGCTAGCAAAGGAATAATTGAATATTTAGACCATTTTAAACATTTATCAAAGGCTTTAGGGTTGAAACATTTGACACTCCAATCTTTAAAAATTCGGAACTCCCCTTACAATATTTTATACCAGCAACCACCTCACATTTCATTGAATGTAATCATGAACATACTTTGCTTGTCAGTAGTTCACTGAGAACCCATATAATCCACCTTCTAAACCAGCGTAGTGAGATCTGTCTAATTACCCGTTGCCTTATAACTCAATCCAAATACCCTAAATAGGGATTTGATAGACTTTCAGTTTTACTGTTCCATTTATACCTGAGACTACTTACTTCGATAAGTTGTTTCAGACAAATGAAATAACAACTTGGCGGAGGCATTCGATTTTATAGGAGATGGTTTTCATGAAAATGAACACAATACATATGCCGTATTTGTGAGATCATAGGTGTTTTAAAACTTCAAACTACATCAATGGTGTTTCGCTTCATAATTCTGCGCTTATTGAATTTCTTCACAAATGACCAAAAGTAGGGATAGTACGAATCTGGGAGAAGACGATACATCTGTCATAACTAAGAAAGTAAGCTGGTATATTCTTAAAGCTATCGACTCGGGCATGTGACTAGAAGTTCTTATGATATTCATAATTAAAAAAATGTATGTACATACATGTACATACATAGATGTTGAAATTTCAACATCTATGTATTCCAGTAAATAATTCACTGAGCTAAACATATAGAACGTTGATCAAGATATTATATAACACACTGGGTTTACAAAGCGGAAAACGGGGTTCGGATATATTTGGTTTTATCTAAATAATAACTTACTCGAGCAGCAGAGAAGGGAAATGATGCGAAGAAGTATTGTGGGAAATTCTACTTCACCCCGAAGACAATTTGAATTCTAGGGAAATGTTTCGGTGAAGGGTGGCTCGTAACCCTCATGAATTCTACAAGTTGTTTTAAATTAAAGAATTTTCCAGTCTTTCAACTTTTAAGAAAACGTGAATAACACCAGTCTTTTGAACCAATTCCCGTTTAGCCGCAAATCCTTCAATATTGTTCATATATGAAAGTCCCATATATGGGGTGGGAAAGACATATACGTTCCACATAAATCTTAATTGAATAAGTTTAGACTAAGTATCAGTATTTATTTGAACATATTGATCGAATATAGGTACGAGATAAGTTGTTTTCACTGCCGATACTAAACTGACTTCAGATGTAATATACTGTATTTATATTTAAATATGGGATAGGAGTATATATACCTGACCAACAATATGCAAAAGAAGCTCATTGAGTGATGATTAGTGTCGTATAAATGTGTGTTAACCACTGGAAATTTTGTTCCTAAGCTATTAAATCATGGCCCATGACTGAGAAAAATAATCCAGAGATATTCGCTTTTGAATATACTCAAAACCTTAATATCTGATAAATATTTTTACTTTTGGTTTCCTTATTTTTGTTTGTGCAGTTAGTGTACTTATTTCCAACGAGGTATTGATCTATTAGCATGGAGTATCAGTCCTGTCTATTAATTCTGTCGTCGATCACGATACTTCATGCGCTTTGTTCTTTGTTATTTATCATAGCTACCGTTTTAAGGCCGAAGTAGGAAGTTCGTAGTTAACTTTTTTTCCCCTGTCATATTCACTTGAAAAAGTTTCTTTATTAGTCGTGACTGAAGTGACTCACTTAAACTCCATTTAAAAATCACAAACATGGACTTTAGTTTTCATTTTTATTAGCGATTGACATTTATCTCTTATGTTTTGTATGAGGAAACTTGTAAGTAGCCTAATGTCATGAGTTTATAACACGCAAACTCTCATTCTTTGCATTGAGTCATTGGATGCGGAATATCCGAACGATAAATAGAAGTGGTTTTTAAGAAACTTTTATCAGGTGTCAAGGAAGTGACTACAAAATCTAGCTTATGTAGTTGATATTGTGCTGTCATTGTGAACAGACTGTTAGATGTTGTAAAACTGGTTTATGAGAAAAACTGCTGCATTCAGAGCACGTTTGTATTATTTATGTGGGCTGTTTTACCGCTAATATTATGCAAAGTGAAAGTTATTGTTGCTTTTGTTTCTGGCTTTGCTTTATTAAACAATTTTCTGGGATTGTGTCATTTCATGGCGTTAATAAACATATATGTGCGTGTTTTAAGCTGCATTCAGATAGAGTTGGATCATATAATCACCTTCATTTATTATTTTGAACGTTTTAATACAATTTGTGCAGAAAAAGACCTGTTTCCTGGGAATGTATTCAAGTTGAAGTTTTTGGGTATGTGATACTCGTTGCTTTTTACCCATTAGCATATTCACAACGTGGTGAGGATAAGATAGCACTTAGGATTAGATTTACACCAACGAACGCAACAGACTAACCGGAAATAACTGTAATATCACAATTTTCCGATAAACGGTGAACCTAAGCTGCGTTGCAGCAGAAAAAAATAATATTGAATTTATTAAACACTGACTAGAGTGAAAACAAGCATTGTAAAGTTGACCCACTCCCTTGTGAAATAGACCTTTGGATCAAGTGTTGCATGTTTACATTTATCTAAGGTCCCTGCGATGTCTAGAAAAGGCCATACAGGTCCAGGCGCTGAACTAAACCCTAGAGCTAAAAGTACTAATATACCGGTTACAAATCACTGGTCATTTATACACGATCAAACTGAAGTGTTCGTTAAAAGTAGGAGGTAGCCAACGTGGAAAGTCATGTTTCCACGTTATCAGCATGTTTGTCTGAACTTTAAAGGGTTGTAAACAGATGAACCTGAAGGCAAGTCTCCAAGACAACTACAAGTTTTTCTCGGCTAGTTATATTGAACAAACATAGTAAATTTTAGTCGTTTTCATAAACTTTGGTTGTTAAACTAATTTTCGAGGCATATAAAACTTGAACAACTGATTTTTTGTATTCAGTAGGGTTGATAGTTATTCTTAACCTTTCTAATTCTTCATCAAGGCTTTATTTTAGTTTTAACTACGAAGTGTCATGATCGTATCATTATTTTGATATGCTAAGGTTAGTAGCTTACAAAAGAGTTTCAAGTATAATTTACAACTAAAATTGTTAAAAGTCCCGTATGAAAATTACTAATTTGACTTCTTTTTTAAAATATTTAGTCAGATATAGGTCAGCATTTTCTACGTGCTGCCCGTGCTGGAAATATTCAAAAGGTTTTGATACTCATCAATGAGCACAACGCAGATGTACATGCCTGTAATGCAGTAAGTTCAAAAGGATAGTAAAAAATAAATATTTGTGTATTTTATGTTTTGCTTGTAATTTTCACTATTTTATATATCGATGTATTATGTTTAATTGTGAATTTGTTTGAATTATCGTAGTAATTTAATATTTATCACTGACTAATGAATTATTTTAAATTTTATTCTGCTAATCGGTTGAAGGAAGATGAGAGATCATAAACTCAGGTATCTTGGTAGTTGGTACTCGCTAGCAATACGTTACTTTAGTCTTTAAGGAACTAGTGCTACCTGCGGTATTAGAAACCGTATCATCCGGCTTCATAATGTAAGACGTTACCATTGAGTTATTCAAGCCGCAGTTAACCTCCCTTAGGGCTGACATGTTGATAAGAATTTGGTCACTGGTTAACTGTCAGCATCATTTTTGTATGACTATTCTGTGCTATTCAAATTCACATATTAAGTCATTATAAATTCTTGTAGAAATGCGAATATGGAGATCGTCATTGATACTTTTTAAACTTTTAAAGTCATTTTGAGATAATTGTAGAGAATATTCGTATATTTTTAGTATTTACTTTAAAAAAGTGAGTTGAAATCTATGTTAAGCATATTACAGCACAACAAATCTCTTCACAATACTAGCCAGTAAGTTTGTAGGTTTTAACAAAGCTAATGACTACCAAATCAAGGCGTAGCATCAGTCTTCAAAGTTACTGATTGTTGATTTGAGCTGTGTTAGAAAGTACAAACTTATTGATATAAGGTTTACACGATAATTATAATCGATGATTGGAGGGGTCTTGGTGAAATAACTCAAAATGTTTTACACTGACTTAGACGTGAATATAAAAACAGCCAAATAAACTCATACAAAAAGTACTTAGGTATGATCCATACTTTATAAATAAGGACTGAAAATAGTGCCAGGTTGCCCGAACCGCAGCATGTGGCGTGGGACTCTCGCCAACAAATCGCTGTACAAGCGCTTTTGTTACTTATCTTCATTAAGATCTTAAGTCTTAGCACTGTTGCTTACATCTTTATTTTTCAGTCCAATTCTTCCTCTTCGAACCGCATTCCTTACTTTTAGTTACTTCTGGTATTATTGAAATAATTCTTAATTATTTGTTCTCAATACCTCTTCTTGATTTCCACTCTTTTTTACAAGACCATGTAGAAAATTCAGGGCTATATATATATATATATATATATATATATATATCAAATTGTGTATTGTTTATGACTAACCCAACTAACTTATACTTGTCAATAAAAAGTAATACTCGGTATTCAATTCCTCAGAATGGTTATCCGATTGTTTTTTACTTAATTTTGTTTATTTGTGATTTGTTTAATTATTGTTGGTTATCAGTTGCTAACATATGTATGCATATTATTTGCTTCAAGTAAATGATCACCTTTTTATTAAAATTACTAACCTACTTAAGTTATGTGGTCTTTGAAAACCAGAGATACTAGACAGCTGTTTCGGCTTAGTATGGGACTCCTTAGCACTGTTTGTCTAAGACTCTCCAAGGGATCGGATTCCATGACAAGCGCTCAACTTTAAAACCATTAAGCTGATATCTAGTGGTTTAAATTTTCGATCTCAATGGATTTGTAATGCTGCTTAATTAAAATATGTCGATTTTTAATCTTAGCGGTATTCAATAACTTCTATCAACTCTAATTCTGACACTTATATAGCCCTTTTTGAAGGTATGATCAAGTGCGAAATATATTTTATTAATTTAGTCCAGTACATGCAATGTAAGTATGTTCTTGTCACATACTGTAAACCTTAAGATGATGTAATTTTATTATTCAAATCAGTGTAGTAGTCATATCGTTCCAGTGATCTTACAATTGAATGTGTTAGTCTTTCTCAGGTTTGAGTTCCATATTGGGGGATTATAGACTGATTTTATTGGTTAATACATATTAGTTTGATGTATCTGTTTTATCCAACTATCTCTCCGTCCTTCGTCTAGCCAAACTGACACTACTCATTCCGTTATCGTTAGTTCTAAGATTTTATCCAAGTAACAAATAGTCCCCTGTGGAAAATAACGATTGATTAAGTAATTTATTATAACTAATTTTAATTCCTAAATAGACTGACATCTGTCTAAACCAAGGAGGAACTATGGTTTAGATCAGTAGGTGTACCATTGGAAATTAAAATTAGTTTTAAAACTTATTCGCCTCCAATAGACATCAAACACCTTATTTGTAATTTTAATTTAAACATTGGAAATAAGAAATTCAACGAAGGGATCTTTTTTTTTAACAAATTTGTTATCCAGCTATATATATATATTAAGTAGTATTAATAGTTTTAGATTAAAATTCAATATATTCAACCTGTATTACATTCCTAGTTTAATCAAAGTCAACCAATAATATTAGAAGAATGAAGTAGTAATTTCCTAATGAATAAATCTTTTTGTTTATATCTTTACCTAAACTTCATTCAATTTAAAAGTGAAGGAAAGTTGAGAATGTTCATTTATTATGTTCATATTATTACTTGCAAAACATAGTTTGGATTCTTTTAAAAACAATTAATTAGTCAATTAGAATAAAGCAAATAAACAAAAATAATGATCTCAAATTATTATCACTTAAGTAACAATGAAAAAAAAAGCAACAAATAAATGGCACTTCATTCTTTGTACACTTCTCTACTTAGTTAATAAACAAATGCTGAAATGTATTTATTCACACATGTTCTGGTTTGTGTTTTCATCTATTGAATGTTTATTTGTTTTATTATTTCATGTTGTAATTTATAATCTATACATATCTAATTAATATGACATAAATGTTTGTTTATTTATCTCATATTTCATTTAACATTCCCCTTCTAAAAGTATACTGAGATAAATATTTATAATTTGATGTAGTGAACTTGGTAATATATATATTACTAGTATGACTGTTTGTTATGTTCATTGAATGATCTGCTATTTGTTGCTTGTTCAACAGAATAAAACCAATATGACTCTATTTAAAAAGGAATGAGTGACTAAAGATGAAGATTCTTTTTGACGTAGCAATCACCGATTCAGAAATTTTATTAAAATCACAATGTTACTTATGATGTATGTAACAGGTACTTGAAAAAGATTTGTAGATTCGATAAATGCATTCAGTGTTGTTGAGTTGTGTCAGAGAAATTGTGCAATAGCAAAGTTTTCACTGTAGTCCTGAGCATCATCAGCGCTTACTTTGTGTGAAAGCGCTGATGATAGTATCCAGAACGTTAATGAAAGAATTTTAATAAAACTATCTTACATAGAGAAAGCAATAACATCAAAAAAAAAAGAATTATTTGTGCTTTATTTTACATAATACACTAACAGAGATAAATTAAGGAAAGTGATTAATTTTTATGCAAATCTTAATCCTTACTAAAGTTCTTTTCAATAGTAAATTAATTTCATTCGATTCAATAATTTGTTATTTTGCCATTTTATTTACTCCAATGAAGAAAATTCTCTTCTATTGTATAAACCATTTTCATTTTTTTTCGTTTTGTTTAGAATGGGTTAAATGCGCTTCATTTAGCTTCAAAAGAAGGTCATGCAGAAGTTGTACGTGAATTAATTGAACGTGGTGCAAAACCGAATACTGCTACGAAAAAAGGGAATACAGCTTTACATATTGCAAGTTTAGCTGGTCAATTTGAAGTGGTTAAATTATTACTAGAGGCTGGAGCTGAAGTGAATATTCAAGCTCAGGTTGGTTTATAACACTGTCTTTTTGTTGTTGTTGTTATGCTAATAGTTAGTGTCATTCTGTAGTTTACACCATGAATTGGCCTCAATAAAACAACTATTTGAGACTAGAAGGGGCTGAACAGCTGTTTTATCCTAGCACGTAACTCTTCAGTAATGGACATACATGATACTACATGGAATTGAACCCAGAACTATCAAGTTTCAATGGTTAGTGCTAAGCATGTAGAAAATTGAATTGGCATTCAAAGATTTATACTTATAAACACAATCAATTCACAATATCGCTTAACCATTGTTTAATTCTATTGGTTGGTAATTGCCACCATAAATCACTCTTTTATTATTTATGAGAAATTTTAGTTTTAGTGTAGTTCATAATTGATAGCTTTTTTTCTCTCTAGGAAATTTACGTTAAGCTGATTTAGTAGAAACTCTTAAATTTCAAGTAGCGTTTTTATTACGAAACGATATCAACAGGAAAATGATTTAAAGACAATTTAGACTTAATACTTGTGTCATTATCATAACATACCATTCAGGAGTGCGCCGCCTACAAGTCAACATTATCGTGAAGCTATAACATCCATACTACTGATCTCAACCGCTCAACTTTGTAGTCGTATATCAACCACACAATATCATTGGTTGACTCAAACAATCACTGGCAACATATTAGAACTTAGTAAAATTCATCACAAATGTAGTTTCTAGAGATCATTTGACTACTAGTTCAGCTAATTAATTACTTTCATACACAGTTACCAATTTCAACTCATTGATCTTCATAATATGCGTACATACTTGCATGCGTATATATATATATATATATATATATATATATATGATCTCTTTTCTTCTAAATCGATGGGTGTCATCAATGCATTTCTTTTATTCTTTCTACTTTAAGCACTTCATTTTGAATACACTCACACAGTTATACATACATACATGCTATATACATACATACAACATGGATACGCAATTACTTATTGGATTGACAATATAATAATATTATTTTTGGAGAAATTTATCATAAATGTGAAGTTGACTGTCTGACGGTGTGACAACACAGACAGTTGGTCAGTTTATTAATTAGCTTACTGCCGAGGAGTCCCACAATAGGACGAAACGGCCGTTCAGTGCTTCCAGGTTTTCAATGGTAGTCTAACATCAATTGGTTCATGATCTCAATCAAAGATTAGCTTACTATTTAGTTATGGAAGATTATTTTTTACATTGACTTAATAAGTAAATTAATTTTATTGATTAATAATGAATAAAGCATAATACATACCCTAAGAAGAAATACAAAGTACTGTGTGTATGTGTTTGGCAGAAAGAAGAGACAAAAATTTACTGTCAAAATAAGTAACTAGTATGATGCACACAGTTGTAAATTGACAACAGTTGAATTTTTCATTTCACTATCTCTCCGGTTTCTATTTCTACTCTTCTCTTTCCTTATCACTAAAAATATACAGATTAGTTATCAGTAATAGAAAACAATAAATGTAGCCGTAACATAATAACATAAAAAAATATAAGTTTGCTACCAACTGTTAAAGTATCTATTCAAGAAAGACATTTTCACTAACTAATGTAAAACATGACGGATTTTTTCTTCGACAAGTTTATACCTGAATAGTTAGAATGTATATAAGAGCATAAATATGTGCGTATGTATGTATGTATGTATGTGTGTGTGTGTGTGGTCTTAAACTCTTAGAGCTGGTTTACTTAAGCGATATTAATTCTGTTTGAATTATTATTAATATGAGGTAGTTGATTGTTGTGTTTAATTAAATGATAATTTTGTTCTAATTGAATATTGTGTTACTCTCTTTAAAATGATTGATTTGCTTAAAGAGATTTTGTTTTTCTGTCATTTTCAGGTATCATTAGTAGGATTAACTTTAAAAGTATTTCTTCCCAAAACTTTCTTGAAGAAAGTTTAATTCTACTTTTTCTCATGAAGATGCTGAATACGTTTGATTGTCTCAAATACTATTTTGTTATCAGTAACATAGAACTTTGTTAACTGTAAACTACTTGTTAACTTGCGTTATAAAACTGACGACCAGTTAATACGACTGCTCACGCTACTACCATTTATAACAATAATGATAAATATGATGATAGTAATAATACTACATTTATCTAAATACATAAACATTGGTACAAGGAGGCGCCACACTTCGTCATTCGATTTGTATGAGGGCTTGAATACTACCCAGGTGACCAAACCGAAGCAAGTGGTTTTCTTAGGGGGTCACACGCCGAGCCTTTGACCTACAGGTCAAATACACAAGGCAGTGGAGCTGCGTTAGGAGATGCAGTCCAATGGTAGCTGCTGACCAAAAATAGGTTTATATGCTATTTGTTCTTTTAGAATCCTGGAGCTCATGCACACCATTGGTTTGGAATTAGGGTTTTCCAACTCCCCTGCGTGAATTCTCCGCGTCCACTAACCTGGTTAAAACGCCGGACGTCTGCTTCTCGTCCTCTCGAGTTCGTAAACAATACCCTCACCACATGAAGGTAGTGAGTAGAGCTTCTGTGGTAGTGGCTGTATACGCGTGGCCATGTGAGAGCATTTGGAGAGGGAGACCTGGCTCTCCACACCCTTGGTCTTATCAAGGAAACTACTACTGTTACTAATTCTTTTACTCTAGTGTTTGTATTAGTACTATCATCTCATCACTGTCGTATCGTGTAGCGACTCACTTTGTTAAATTGTAACACTTTAAGACCCTTTATATTAGTTTAGTGAAGTTAGTGTTTTTTAAGTATGTCTATTCGTTTCGATTCGTTTTAGAAGTATCAGGTATCTATAAATCTTTTTTACTAGCATTTTTACAGTTTCTTCAGTTCATAGTTACAGTTGGTCATTATTGGTCAGAGGTACCGATTTATTCTACTACTCTAATTGCTAATCACTGTCGATGAGCGGGGTAGTAGTCGCACCACTCATTTTTTTCAGTTCGTTGTTTCTTTATCTTATGAACACTTGTTTTATTACCATTTCGTCGTTTGCTTTTTTTAAGATTAAAATTAGTTCTTACAAAGCCTTTAGAAGTAAACAGTTACACCTAAGAAAAATTATGAGAATAGGGTACTGCAATATTTATAACTGTTTTAGCTTTTAAGAATATCTGTCAAATAGTCTTGTAGCATAGTTTTTATTATCTGTCTTTTTTTGTGTTGATTAACCACTATGATAGACGAATAGAAGTGGCACATTATATGCAGTCAAATATTAAATGTAATTTAATTTATTTCAGAAACGTACAACTATTCATAATTTTGCATAGTTAGAGGAGTTAAGAAGACTTTTTCACTTTGAAAGCACTTCTTATCATTTATTAACCCCTGAAAACCCGAAAGTAAAAGACGAAAATTTCGTCCTATTTTAAGACTCTTCAGTATTAAGTACTCTTAATTTCACAGAGTATAGGAATTGTAACATTTAAGGACATCCACGGTAAGCATGAAACTGTTCATCCATTCAGTCAGTCCATGATCGGGTTAGACGACGACCATTATTCAAGTTCATTGCTATAAGCTAACTCACTGCCGATTTGGTTGACTTTAAAAACCACTATTTCCCAGTAGAACCCAGATTTAGTCACCAGAAAACATATGCTTTTTTCATTAGAAAGTTCCAACTTTCGATTTCTCATTTATTTGTTTATTATTCTGTAGTCGAACCTGTGATTTCAAGGAATATTTTTTCTTAGATCTATTTTGATTAGTAGCTTACTGTTTATAAATAAAGTTCCTTCATAGAGATATTACTAACATCTCATTATTTTTGTTACGTTTTGTTTTTATTTAAAACCTTAAGAGATTAATGCTGTAGTAAAATTTAGTTTTTATTGTCTGTGATGAATCTTTCCAGGTTATTTTCATTGTTCTGAACTTCTTTACAAAGTCCTATTATATATATATATATATATTTCTGTGAACACAGTGGTTTGAAGGAATGTGAATTACTTTATCTCCCATAACATTAACGCAACAGCTGTGAAGGACGTTCGATAGATAAAAAAACCATAATCTATATCCCTCTAAATTGATGGAGATAAAATAACTAATCTGAAGGATTAAATACTTCACTAACCCAGTTTTACCTTGTCTTCAATCATAATCTTGTGTATAAATGTCAATAGTTATTAAGGTATGATAGTTTAAATAGTTTAATGAACGACTCGGTAGTTCAGTAAAAATGTGTATCCAACCAAGTCATTACGATTTACATTAGCCCAATAAAACGTGTTTAACAAGTTGCGATGCGAATGAAATGAAATTATATCGTTACTCGATTGAAGTAGTAGATGTGAACGACTGAATGCCAACCTACTTGTTTGAAACTTGTACGTTCATCACGAAACTTGACGATCTCAAGTTTGATTCTTGATTAGTTTATAGATGTTCATTGTTGGAAAATTCAATACTATGTTGAAACAAATATCCATTATCTTCGGGTTTTCAATACCTGTCTATAGCCAAGGTTAGTCCGCGAAGTAAATCAAAGGTATACTGATCATCACAAATATTTTAAACAATTAATATTAGATTTCTCTTGTTTCGCAAGTTATTTTATCAAGTTAATTTCTTTATTACTAATCTGTTCTTTTTATCCCATTAATGTCTATGTATCTTGGCAACTGGAATAGCTCGATTATTGCATTAGTTATTTAAATTTGGTTATGTTTTGATCATCGATTTCTTCACTACTGTTCCTCCACTCAAGGATTCACATGAATCTTAAGTAGTGAGAGATAACTGAATGGTTGAAGCATCCACCTTTTAACTATTGATTTATAAGTGATAATTTTGAGTTCCACTCTGCGTACCCTAGTTTAAATAACTGGGTAATACAGCCTTTGCTCATCAGTGGTTGAAGATATTGGGTAACATGACACATCACAGTGGCTCAGCTGCGTTCACTCTTTACTTTCCTCAAATTCATGAGCTACAACATTATTTCATGCATTTTATGCCTAGCATTCACCCGTTCTTTTCGAAGAGCATTTTTCATTATTGATTATTTCTCAATATCATTGATTCTATTATTATTTTGACTCATTTTTGGCACTGTTTATATTAATTCCATTTCATTGTGCTGATATGGTAATGGGAATTTTGACTAACCTTCGTTTATACCAGATTATATTAACTACGAATGAATGAATGATTAGCTTTCAAAACAAACTTTCACCATAAAGCCAAATAAACAAACTTATATTTTCAAACTATTTTATTTAAATTTACAATGATTTTATTTCATAGTTTATCAATTTATTCATTGTTTTACGTTTTATTCTCAGAATGGTTTCACTCCATTGTATATGGCTGCTCAAGAAAATCATTTGGAAGTTGTACGTCTACTATTAGCCAATGGTGCCAATCCTGGTTTAACTACAGATGATGGTTTTACACCACTTGCTGTAGCTTTACAACAAGGTCATGATCGTGTAGTTGCTTTATTATTAGAAAGTGATTCTCGTGGTAAAATCTGTTTACCAGCTTTACATATTGCATCTAAAAAGGATGATATTAAAGCTGCCAATTTGTTATTAAATAGTGATGTCAATGTAGATCATCAATCAGCTGTAAGTTTTGTGTTTAAAGTGATAATTTATTTCATTTTTCATACTGTTATTCATAATGGTATAGTATTTGATTAATTATGTATTATATCCAACCTGGAACATAAGTGCATCAATTCATGTTATTACAGAATATCAGCACAACGAGATGAAATTATCAAAACATTTGCCGGATTAGAAGAAGTAGTAACATTACGAGTAGTAGTACTGGCAGAAAAGATCATACATAGCCAACATGATTTACAAGGAAAGGATGAAAAGTGTTTTTCTACAAACAGTAAATAAATCTATGTTATTGTCATCTGTTCTAAACTATTTCATTTAGCACCCTCAACCTTCGGTTTTGATAATGTGCTTACAACTTCGTTCAGTAGTTAATGACTTCGTGGACTAATCCAACTTCTTAGTCTAACTGTCCCTAAATTTCTTTCAATCTACCCCCTACCCTAGTAAATATATGTTGTTGAAGTTGGCGGCGGTTTGACATTTCGATTTCAATTATGTTAAACTGCTATAATTAATTACTGTTAAACATATAACTAAATTTTTTAAAAAACAAATAGACGGCTTCTTGTTATACAAATTTTAAAATTTATATTTTCATTAATTGTCATTTTCCCCTTTAATTATTATTGTAATTGTAAAGTTGGTATGCTATTTTACCTAGTTGAGAAGTATAGATAGGGATGCGGTGTAAAATAATACATTGCCGAATGAAAAATGAAACTGTGAATAGTTTTTGTTGCAAAACATTAAAAGAAAATCATAGACAAATAAAGAGGTATTTTATCCTACTATGGAATTTTTTCAACAGTCCATTTTCATCACCCAGACTCGGTGGTCAGGAGGTTAAGCGTTCACGCGCGAGACTGAAGGCCATGGGTTCTAATCCCGCTAGCGGGATCGTAAATGCGCACAGCTGAGGAGTCCCATAATAGGAAGAAACGGCCGTCCAGTGCCTCCAGGTTTTCAATGATGGTCTAACATCAATCGGTTCATGACCTCAACCAAAACAACAAGTCGAAATCCAATGGTATACACTACCTAGGTTCGATTCCGTATGAGATTGTAGGTGACAAACTACTGCAAAGAATGTGTTAAGTGTTGCATGTTTTTCAAAAGTTTTCTAGCTTATGTAAATTAGAAGAGAGATCTATTTCCATGTTTAAAAAGTCTTCACAAACTAAGCAATTAAATGAAAGATAGTTCTCTGAGATTATGATTGGTTAGTTCATAATGGCTTCTTCAGTTATTACATGACTGGTTGTCAAAACGATTATTTAATTGACTTTGTAGATAACATTCACTTCATATATGTCCGAGTTGTAGTAGTAAGTATGAGAAGAATCATCAGGGTGAAATGGTATAACATTGAACAGTAGCACTGATGTTTTAAAATGTTTACTGGCTACAATTTTCTTGTTTTGTTGAGTGAAGTAGTTGACCGCATTGAATGACTTACTACTTCTCTTGCAAGTCTTTTCAGCTGTGGTAGGTTAGTGTTATGAAGCTTGGATTTTCTTCGTCTTTATGAATAGGACGTTAATTTGCTTCAGACGAATATCTACACTAGATTCCTTTCCAGTGTCTATTCTACCAGATTTCAACACAACTCAGATCAAAAACACATGATTAACCTGACTAGAATATAAATATATTTCCACACCGAAAACCGACAACAATCCAACACAATCAGAATAATAATAAGGATAGGAGAATATGTAACTCATCTAGTACCTGTCAGACTATCTACAAATCTGACTAAGCAAGCAAACAATCATTATCATACTCGCCCACACATCAGTTAGTGTCCAATAAAAGCTTCACATAAATTCAGAATGCTCAACTGACTTTAATCAATCTGGGTTATTTGTAGCTGAGATACATTTCTGCCAACCGAAGTCAGTAAACTGCTCAGCAGTTCATTCAGTATTACTTTATGGGTGTGAAACCTGGAGTTTGAAAGTAGAAGATATTTATAGGTTTTTAGTATTTAATCATACGTTGGTGCTTTCGAACCTCCCTCTGACTGACTCATCCTAGTATGGGACTCTTCAGAAGTGCGCATCCACGATCCCGCACACGGGATCCGAACCCAGGACCTTCGGTCTCGCGCGGGAACTCTCAACCTCTAGACCACTGATCTGGCGCCCAACGGTGTTAATGTCTAACTTCAACCAATCCACGGGATTGTGTGACTATCTTTCATTATCTTCGATGGGTAGCTGCTATCCAGTGCTTCCAAGTTTTCACTGGTGGTCTGACATTGATCGGTTTATGATTTCAATTAAAAATCACCACAAATTACTTATGAATTTTTAGAAAATTTTCTTAATTTTTTCTTCGTTTATGTCTGTTTTGTTTTAGAGTGGATTCACTCCACTTCACATCGCTGCACATTATGGTAATGTGAATATGACTGAATTATTGATATCACGTGGTGCTAATATTAATTTTCAAGCTAAAGTAAGTAACAAGAAAATCATTTAGGATTATCTTTTCAATACTTTCAAAATTTAATAATGATCATAAATATAAATAAATATGTATTCATTTATTATTGACAATTTTTACAGAGCCTTAATTGAAAATTAATTAGTTTAAACAATGAAACTACAAAGCTTCATGTAGAGTTTACAATTGACTGTTTATTCGGAAAGTGAACTATGTTATGTTTTTCTATTCCTTTTAGTGCTGATTGAACTCTATTGATTAATTTTAAGTGACTAGTTATTGGTTGGACTATGTTTAGTTGTTAAGCTGTCTATAGGAAACCTTACTTGACCTCGATTTTGTACTAGTTAGCTATTATTGGCAGGGTGTACCTCAAATGTTGGTGGAATAGATGCCTTCTGGTGAATTTGAACGCTCATAATTCTCTGCCCAAACAGTTATGTGGCAGAGTTTCAGACCATATAGCTATGGAACGTGGATTGGAGTCCAATAGTGACTATCATTTCCCTCAAGCTTCTGAGTACGCTTTGCCAGTAAGTGCTAACTAGCAAGAGACCTATGTAAGGCAATTTTCATTGTCGATTACCTCCAACCACCTGTCATCTTAATTATGAGTCATAAATTCTAGTTCGAACCACTTCCATATATGCTATGAGAGTATAATCTATTGTTTATACCGTGATATTTTTTTCTCGGGGTTTTTATCATATCTATTAATCTATCAAGGGTTTATTAGTTGACAAATTCTATCAAATCATACTTCTGTATTTATTATTTATCATTCAAATATTTCAGCGTATTCAATTTCGTAAACACTGACTTATATCTCATACATTATGTTGAATAATAATTAAATAGAAAAATATAATCACATAGGTTCGGTGGTTGTATGATCTCATGAGTGAGTATTGGTAGACATGATTTCTAAGTTATATATCGTCTGATGGTTTCAACAGATCTCAATCCAATGTTGATTCGTCATGAGAAATAAGGTTTATTATCGTTTACAGTTTGGTTAAAGGAGTTTTATAAATTCTTGTATAATTTTGAGATTGTATTCGTCACAAACTGATTTCAGAGATGTCGAAAGTGAAATAATTGTTACCAGTCATATTGAATGGTCGCTTCAATATAACACAAACTAATTGAAGTCGGAATTGTCCTATTTGACAGGAATCTAGTGATTTTGTTGGTTAATTTCTTAGTAATAACCTTGAAAATCCTGGATACTATCCCTGGTCGAGTAGTTGGTACTCAACGATAAACAGTTCCATGCTAAAACTAAAAAGTTGTCCATTCATTTCTGGCTCTCATTGGCATCTCAATTAAAACCTGATACATCCTTCCTTTCAATTTTTACAATATGTTCATTATTATAATTTTTATAAATTTCAATGAATTACTTCTTTAAAACTGATTCATAAAAGGTTATCAATAATAATAATAATAATAATAATAATAATAATAGCAATTAACTAATAAGCTTTTATTAGGAATCACAAGATGTTAAAATTATGATTAAGCATTTCATTTAAATTGAATCACAACAAAATTCCAACTTATCTTTATTGTCATTTCGCCTATAAGATATGATGAATAATTGAACTGTTTACTTTTGCTGTATATACGAATGTAGAAAGGCACCGACTTTTGTGAAATAAATACATTTTGAAGTTATTATTTGTGTTACTATTAAGTTGTTTTCAAACATTTAATTCCTATGAGATTGATTTGCGTAAATTATGTTGAAATGCTTTGTAATGTTTTTATTTTTATTTTTACTTTCACTCACACACATACACAAACACATTATGTATGTTTTTCTTAATACAGAACAATATAACTCCATTGCATGTAGCATCTAAATGGGGTAATCAAGGTGTAGCTGAACGTTTAATTACAGCTGGTGCGGAACTTGACTGTCGTACACGTGATGGATTGACACCATTACACTGTGCTGCTAGATCTGGACATGATACAGTTGTTCAATTATTATTAAGTGCTGGAGCACATATCTCTGCTAAAACAAGGGTAAGATTTAAAATTATTTTCAATGGTGTATTTATGCAGTTTGTTTTTTTAATTCAAATGTTTGTTGTACAGGATTTCTTTGCAGAAAAAAGAAATCACTTTTAATGTTTTACTCAGTGGTTCCGAAGTTTGTCTTGATTTATTTGGATCAGTCAAGTTCAGTATTTTTAATGATTCTTTGATAAAAAATATATGATTGAATTACTAGTATATGGATGTACATTTGGTTACTTTTTCTAATGTTTTCAAATAACATTCAGATGAAGATTATATTTTTCTTTACATCATCGGATAGCATCAGAAGTTGTTTAATAGATGGTAATTTCTATTGTCGTTAAAATTGAATGGTGTAATTCTAAACACTTTACGAATCTGTCTTATCTGATACTTCTGAGAAGTCTTATACTAGGACGAAACAGCCATCCACTGCTTCCAGGCTTTCAATAGCTTAAATCAACCATTAAAAATTACTACAATCTCTACTAACCCCTATTCTAGTCATAAATAAAATATGCACACAAAAAATATATTGCATCAGTTGATATATTAGTCCAAAACAATTAAATTTCACCACGATGTATTTATTCAATAGTTTTCTTCATGGATTGATATAATAAAGACAAATATGAAAAACTAGAAAGTAGTAGAAAATTGATTCGTCCAATTATCGGAATCTTTAGCAGCATGCATTTACAATCCTTTCAAGACTCGAACCCAGGACTATCATATCACCCACTATAGGCATTGAAAGATGGTTTTGCACCATCAAGAGTTGATTGAAGTGAGAAATGTAAAAAAATATGTGACCAATCGCTCGTCACGAGATCTAGAGGTCTTGCGTTTAATACTTGAAGTCATGGATAGTCATTGATGAGGAGTTCTATGTAGAGGTAAAAAAAAATTGTCCAATACTTCTTGATTTCCATTGGTTGTGTAGTTAATGTCACTTTTGGATGTAAATAGTCAGGAATTCAATTATTAAAGAAAGAATTCTAGATGTTTATGCATTCAACAATACTAGATAATATTGTTTTTATGTACACAATTCAATAACTTTGAAATGATCAAGTGATAGGTACTTTTAGTTTAAGAAACAAAGATCTGTTTATCATAATTTGCAAATGATTTTTTAAGAAACTTTATAAAAAATTTACATCATGTTTTTATTCAGACAAATTGTTTATTAAATATTTTAGTAATAAGAATGAAGTTTTACATTTGTTTGTAATAAACAATGTATCTAATCAATAAAGCAGCTTTCAACTGTTTCAATCATGTTATAAATGTGGAATACTGAAATTCTATGTTCATCTGACATGAATTTTTTTTACTGTGGAGAGTGTGATATTGATAGCACTAGCTAATCTTAACAATTTCTACATTTAGTTAGTCATTCGTAAGCAGCTTATTACCTGATACATATGTGAATCGATTCAACTTGATACACTAATTCAATACAGAGAGAAGAAATTGCCAAGAAAAATATCAAAATAGAAGTAGTATCATTATCAATGGCATTACAAAATATTAGGTAAATTCGATATAATTCTAGAAAAATGATTGTTTGCAGAACGACAATTATAAGGACATTTAAAACTCAATATCTAAGGCAAGATGAAGAATGAATGCATCTGTGTTACTGAGATTTATTCTGAACCATGTTATCCAAAGTCTCCAATCATTGGTTACGATATTTTTACAGATCCGAATATGTTAGTCTTCATTTACTAACGTTTCTGAATTCAACAGTTAATGACATTATGGACTGATTTCATCCGCTGGTTTTGCCAGTCCCTACTTTCCTTCACCTTACTGCTATACTGACAAGCATCTCTACTTTGGTACAATTTAAGTTAGCTTATCTGCCAATAAACTTAAATCAAGGATAAATAAATGACGCCAAACTATATGAGTCCGTACATGTTCTCATCATTGCAATTACTGATGAAAGGTTAAAATTTCTGCTATACATGATAGTATACAATGATACAATATTTATGATACAGAACTTGATTTTCTCTTTGGATTTCATTAAATATTCAGTTTAACAAAAAATTATTCTTAATTCAATTAATCTTAAGTTAGATTTATGTAAACAAAGTGAAGTTCTATGCCATTTGCCAAAACACATAAATGATGCTGATTAAGTTGTATTATTTTTCGAATTTCATAATTTCCTGATAAAATTTTATTGATTAGTTTTTTTTTTACACATGACCATAGTGTGTACATGTGACTGAAAAAAAGGAACTGTATGAACAAATAAAGTTATTAATAGTAGTTCTACATGTAATTATAAGATCTTGATAGTCTCTATATACCATTTGCATAATAATGTAATACAGTGTATAATTGTGTTGGATGCTACTTATGTTGATAGATATAAGTAGTATGTAACACTAATCAGAAGTGGAATATGTGGTAGCAGAAGATTTTTAGAAGATTGAACTAAAGAGAACGGGAATATGAAGAGAGAGAAATCACAGTAGCAACAGGATTGAAGGAACGATGAAGTTTTTAAGGGACAAGTGATGGAAGATATGAAAATGAAGTATTTACTGTCATAGTTTCCATATTTTATGAAGACACTTTGTAATTTTGTATTCAATAATAAATTTATTCTTCCTACCTGAGTGTTCTTTCACTACATAATAACTAAATGATTGTAAAACCATACAATCTATATGGTCAAACTAAGTTACAACGAAAATTCTTATTCGATTTAACATCAACCCATCTGTTCATTATCCTTACTTACGCATATATATATATATACGGTTATTGGAATGTTTGAATTTCAATAACAATATATATTTGAACTCTTTTTTGTTGTTGATTTATGCCGTAACTTTCATTTAGAGTGGTTTAAATTCATTACATATGGCAGCTCAAGGTGATCATGTAGATACTGCACGTTTACTTTTACAACATGGAGCACAATCTGACGATCCAACAATTGACTTTTTAACCGCATTACATGTTGCTGCACATTGTGGTAATGTACGTGTAGCAAAATTATTACTTGAGCGTGGATGTGATGTCAATGCAAGAGCATTGGTAAGTTAACTTTGTATTCAGTTTTCTCCGTTATTCTTTAATTAGTTAAGTCAAAAAAATACATTTGGTGATTTTTTGAAAAATGCAACGTTGTTTAGATTTCTTAATAAGATATACATTTTACTATGATTGTAATTATTATATTCATACTGTATTTGATTTAAATTTCAGGTGTTATCCTCCCAAGTTAATGAGTTAATAAAGTCATATTATTTAGTTTCAAAGATCTCTAGATTTAAACTACATTTCAATATCACATACGTATAAATTAACATAAGCATTGATTTATTTTTATGGAAAGAGGCTGTGTTGACAATTCATTTTTGTATTGTTTGTTTGAATCTTTCCGTTGATGTTTAGGACTGCAATTGATCAGTCTCTTATTGGCATATGTGCATCTTGTGCGAATTGCCTCGATATTGCTTTAAATCAAAAGCTTTATAAACAGAGATGGATGGTGGTTGATAGTGGGATCTAGGAAGTGCGTTTTGTTTTATTGAGGATTCGTCAGCTGGATGTACCTGCGTTTGAAGCGAACGGTACGGGGATCAAGTCCCGGAGTGAACGTCAACCATGGGATGCAGGTACATCCAGCTGATGGTTCTTAAATAGGCCCATCCTGGATTCCACTGCTAAGCATCATCAATCTTTTCTTGCATTGACAATATTTCGTTATTTTTGTCTCGTATCCAAAAATGGTATTAAGAAATTTCACTCTTTGGACGGTTGATATTTTCAAGTTAACATCATAGATTGATCACGGTTAAACAACCGTTGTAAACTAGGAACCATTTGACAGCTGTTTTGTTTTAGTTCTGGACGATTCAGCAATAAATAACTATTCAATGAGAATCTAGTGCTTTAGTCTATTGAGTCAGCATTAACTTGCTTCCGGAATCGATTCTCGGTAGGATTGTGAATACAGACCGATGATAAGTCTCCTACCAGGATGAGAACATTGTCCAGCGCTTCCTGATTTACAGTGGTTGTATGACTGAGAAAAGCTCGTGATGTAAAATACGAAATTCAAAAAATCTTCATAAATTTCCTCTACTTACACCTGTTATTTGTTGAAAGAAGTGTAGGAGTCACGTTACATTAATATAAGAAAATATTTTTTAACGTTTAAATTAATCTATTGTGTATTTAATTATCAGTTGGGATGACAACGAAGGTGTGAATAGATTTGGTTAAATAAATAAAAATTAAAAGAGATACTTGATGATTAATCCTTTACTCACTAAAATACATTTAATACTAAGATAATTTTTCCTAATATTTTGTAGGATGACAAAAAACAAAAACATGTACTGTAAACGAATTCTTGGTCAGTTTAGTTGACGTAGCATTATTACTTAGTGAATTCAATTTGTAAGTAATAAGATACTACTTAATAATTGAGATAAATTTTGGTTAAAATTTAATTGTCGACCTTAAATATCTTTGTATCATTTGCATTCGTTGATAACAAAACAATGCTTGAATCAGTATGAATGTTAAAGACAAGTCTGAAACTTGATAATCCATATCATACTTAGCATAGAAGTAGAAATACATTAATTATCAAAGGAGAACTTCATTGTTGAAAATTCCTCTACTTACAACTTTATAGATATGAGACTCGAGTATCATCAATAAATATTTAAAGCGTTACTCATATGTAGGGAGTTTACTAAGTAAGTAATGTTCACATTAATTGTATGTTAGCCAATAGATTTTTTACATTTGCAATCATCAAAGTGTTTAGGATAGAATAAGAAAAAAATTTAGCGAAGTAAATTTTCTTTTCGATGAAGCCATCTACTTAAGCTGTACATTCGTATATATAGTTATATGGTAAACATATGTCTACAGAAGGTTTGCATCATAAAATGGATTCGAGACTAGATAACAAACTAGGTTACACACTAATCAATGGGTAAGGAAGAAAATAATTTACGGGTCAGATAATTGTCCAGTTGACAGAAAAAACGATAAATATAAAGGTCATGACAATAAAGTGAATAATGATCAAGAATACTTGTATAAGGTAGTAATAATAATAATAATAAGTGATTAGAGTTTAAAATTGCAGAATGATAATTTTAAAAAATTCAATAATAATCAAATAAAAGTGCAGAAAGAAAGAAAAAACACACCCAGAAACATACCCATTAAGGGAATTAGGGCGAAGGAAGGATGAGAGGCTGGATGAATCGTTTTTGAACGCAAAGTTTCGGCTTGAGTTCGTTGATTGCCAATTCTTCAGCAGTGCATAAATTATTGATTCGACACCCATTTGATAGATGTTGAATACACCAAGGCATGGTCTGTTCTATATCTCGATTGTGTTTAAATCAAGAGTCTATCAGAATAAACCAGAAAGCTACAATTAGATTTGATGTTAAGCTGTGTGAATAATATGTTAACTTCCTGAGTACTGTTCTTACAATGTTAAAAACCACTTATTAAAGAACCTAAGTTGATATAATTTAATGGATTATTATTTTTTGCTTTCAATATTCTTCTTCTTCTTCTCCGTTTCCATTTCTTCAACTTTTAATTAACCTATTTCTTTATCATTATTTTTGTGATTAATTTTCTTTATTTCTTGCACTGTATTGACAATGATTTCTACCATTACTAGAATCTTAAATCTTTAGTTATGAATTACTTTTATTTATCTATTGAATTGTTTCATTAAAACGTGAATATGATTTATGTTTATGTAGAATTAGGAAACTGTTGAAATTCTTCTCTCTATTTCTGTGAATAATTAGTTTCATATATAAAATGATTTTATTTTTCGAATTAGTTGTCACTTGAAAATTGAATTTAGTTAATAAGTTCTAATATATATACATATATCTAACTAGGTCAAAACTTCATATGGCCTTTTCTATTTATATCAGTTTTGGCATATTAGTTATGTTGTTAACCATTACTTATTAATAATAATAATAATAATAATAATAATAATAATAATAATAATAGTAATGTTTCTATATATTTGTATGTATTGTTTTATAATGAAAATAATTCATAAAAATGCACTGAGTTGTTAGTTAGTTCAGTTTGATTGTCTTATTGACATTTGAATAAATGATGCAAAAAATATAGAGACTAAATGAATTAGGATATCAACTTCATATTATAAGATAAGAACAATTAAAACATGAACTTTTCACTAATGGTTTTTGTCAATTAACAATGAAACTATAGTAGTGTATATCTTAATGATTCGTAAAAAAAACTTGTTTACATCTTATTGAAACTGGATATTCTTGAACAGTTTTTTGGTGGAGTTGAGTTCATTGAGTTGGAAGGCTTAATCGTGAAAATTTTATTCTTTCTAAATAACATCTTTAGCATAAAATTTGATTAAATATGTTGTTTAGAGGCCTGATGATTAGACTATCCCACTCCGAGAACTTAGCTCCACCAAAATAATCCTCCTGTGCTACAAATCTTCTGACAGAATGACTGTTCTGTGGCACTCTTCATTCGTGTTAGTTCACAATATAGTCGTTCATTATTAACAATTATATTCTGAGCAAAGACTTCCTTCTGAATCTCTTAAAAATTTTAATTTGAAATTATTGTTTGGGAAGCTCAGTTTACTTACCAGTTTGAAATGGATGCTCAAAAAATCAAAATGAATGAGGATTACGCAATATAATAAAATAATTGAGGTGGGAACATGTAATGGATTATAACTTCAAGCTTATAACTGGGGTGTCTGTCATACTAACTAAGAGTGTGGGAACTCTTGTGTGTGGAAGAGAGGAGGTTTGGTTCCAAACGTGACTGTGAAGGTAAACTTTTGTGAGTTTTAATGTCGCTCGGGTTTTTATGAATCTTTAATTGGTTATTAGTTTGTAACACAACGTAGAACCACCACTGGGAGATATTATTTTAATTTTCAAGTCTTTATACTATTTAAATAAGTATTGATGACAAATGATTTATCAACTTGTTGTATACATTCTACTGAGAACTAGTAATATTGTCGAAATTGAGTTCACAAGTCAATCTAAGCTAAATCTCCATTGCAAACCTGGAAAGACTGGACAGCCGTTTCGTTCTAGCTTGGGACTTCCCAGAAATACACATCCACGATCCTTCATGCGGAATAGAACCGAGGACCTTTGGTCTCGTGTGCAAACGCTTAACCTCTAGACCACTGAGCCAGTATTCAACGGTGTTAATATCTAACTTAAATCGATTCAGTGCTTTCAGGTTTTCATTATTGGCCTAGCTTAGACTGACTCGTGAATTCAGCTATGAAAATACTACAATATGACCATGGATGAGTTTAAGATTGCTAATATTGAAATGACTGATATGTATTGTTTACTTAAATCAAATTCAGAGTCCTTTAAATGTGCATGAAATAAGTAGGATATTTTGTAAAAAAAAACATGTCCCATATCTCCTACTATCATCAACATTATGTCCAATAAGTGGATATTTATCTCAATTATCAGATGACTTGATCCAATTACTGTACATATAGCTTCTTCCGCTCTATAATTTCATTCAATTCACTTATGATTTTTAATTTCGTATAAATATAAAAATAATTATTAACCTTTTATCCTATATTACTATTTCCTACTTAATTATATCATTCCGTATATTATGTAGGCAGTGATTGAATGATTGGTTTGAATTATGGTTAAATTACTATTTCTTGTGATCTACGTTAGCCATATTTACTTTGATGGTTAATTGAAGAGACTATAATTTATAGACGAACCAATCAGATATAAGAAAATGAGTCATGGATTTTGGCGCGAAATTCATTCATCCATTTGGCTAAATAATGTTTAGACATTTTAGCTAATGTGATCGAAACCCTAAATTGAGTTCCTCACCCTGACTATCAACTGTAAATCATAATTTTAATTCCTCACAATGTTTTATAACCCTCATTTAGTTCTAATTCGTGGGTGGACATTCTCAGAGTCGCTGAAGCGTCGCACAAAGGTCTTCCATAAACTATAGTCCCATTGATTAAT